AGTAATCTAGAATCTAATATTAGAATCTAATAGACTAGCTAGTTAGCATTATAAATCATTTTAAATCATTCAAAAATATGAAAAATTGACTAAGATATAGGCCATTCCCGTGGACTCCAGAGTCCAGGTTCACTATCCCCTGGACTCCTCCGTGGACTCCTAGGAATTGCGCTCACCAGACCTTCTGGGCACCTGTAATTTGTATGGGGCCCGTGGACTCCGCGCACGACACCGTTACTAGGCTAGATTATAGATTTTAGCTACTAGGGTAAGGGGACTACTAGTATATAGGCCCTAATAAGGTAGGATATAGAGATATATATTACTATAGTAGTAGTACACCTATATAGTAGGATCCTATACTCTAGTAGATACTAAGTTTAGAGTAGATGATTAAGCAGGAACAGGACCAGAGAGGGGTTAATTAGTAATCTAGACAGCCTAGATACTACTACTAGTAATATAATATAGCCTTAGTAGAGAGTAGTGCCCCCAGCAAAACTAGTTAGTGGAGCTAATCCTAATAGGTATATACTAGTTACACAGTCCCCCTAGGGGACCTAGAATCTATAACTAGCATAGTTGGATGCACCGCAAGGAGATAAATAGAATAATACCTAGATTATCCCTCTCAGACCATAGGGGCGGGGAGCCAGGCCTGATGTAGTCGCCAGACTGGGGGGTCCTGGATCCCATAGGAAAGGGCCCGGCGGGGTGCGACGGAGCTCGCACGTAGACTCCGCCCCCTGTGGGATAGAGTGTTCTCTCAACATCAGATTCAGGGAGGCAGCGGAAACTCTTAAGAAAATTATACAGCAAATAATAATTAGGTGTCTTTGTCCAAATGCCCTAAGAGGATCTCCTCGCTCAAATACCTTATATGACTGTTTTCGAAAGGGGGAAGAATGAAATCCATGATAGGATTAGTGAGAGAAAAACCAATTTTAGAAAGATCCTTTTCCTGCTACCAAACCATTATGGGGGATTCAATCCATGCTGAAGATTTACCCCTCAACACTAGGTATTTTAACTTGTTATGTGCTGGAGCGCCATGGCAAAAGTTCTCGGAGGTCTTATGGCATCACCCCGCCATTAATGAAATGGAATTTGCGAATTAGGTAAGCTACTCTCAAATAAAAGGCGATAGTGTCATCCTGTCACAAGTGTTCTAGGGCTCAGCCAATGTATCAGTTTTTAAGGATTTTACAGAGGAGTGCAAAACCAGCTACACCAATTTACACAGGCTTCTTCACTCATCCATCACTCTTGAAGGCACAGTAGACCTTGCAAGATGGCTACAAGACTTCCCCCGCCAAAGCTGCATCTCGTCCATGCTATGATAGAGAGCCAGTCACTTACCAGATCTGAAATGGCTGAAGAAGCTGAATGCAGCCAGGCTACAATTATAAATATTCACACAAACTTGCGGCAATTTGGAAGTGTCCACGCCCCCCTGACTCAAATAGGTCTTTCTGTGCATGGTTATAAGGCATATGTACAGTGAACATTGCACTCACTCCAAAAATCCCCAAATGTTATTCAGACTCTCTGCTAGAGTGGGATGGGCCAGGATTGCATCTCGCAACTTTTGGTAGGGAACATTTCCGATCATTGCTATTTCCACGCTGCTCATGATTTCGCCACCGTCGATGCCCAAGCAGGAAAACCCTAGAATCAACCCTGTATCACCGTCCACGACAGCTTTCATCATTCCTCTCGACTCGTCCGTTTCTAGTGCGCGGGCGACGTATGCCATTGGCATTTTCGCAGTTTGAATCCTCTTGTTGGGGAACTTTACACGAGCTTCCTTCTCATGGAGGCCGACGTGTGCCAGTTGGGGATCGGTGAACACCACGTACGGGACAATGCGGTCTTTGATAGAGAGCCTTGTAGGTGGTAATGAAAGCATGTTAGACTGAAGGATGCGAAAGTCGTCGTATGAGATGTGCGTGAATGCCGGTGGTCCTTTCACATCGCCCATTGCAAAAATAGAAGGAGACGAAGTCTCGAGGTATTCGTTTGTCATAATATATCCTTTCTTGTCGGTGTTGATACCTGCAGCTTCTGGCTTCAACCGGTCTGTATTTGGAATGCGGCCGGTAGCGAATAAGATGTGCGTTCCTTCGACGGTTCGATCGCCATTATTGGCGTGGAAATAAAGAGTAAACCCGCTAGGCGACGGTGCAATTCTGACAGGGTCCGAGTTCAAGTGTACCGTAAGTCCATCCTCTTGAAAAATATTTCGCAGCAGGTGAGCAATTTCTTCGTCCTCGTGCGGTAGTAATTGTCTTCCACGCTGGATTATGGTGACCTGTGCACCTAGTCTGCGAAATAATTGTGCAAATTCCACTCCCACATATCCTCCTCCAATCACCACGAGGTGGCCGGGAACCTCGTCTAGCTCTTGAATTGACGTGGAATCCAAGACTGCCTTTTGATCAAGCAAGCCTATCCCTTCGAGGAGTGGCGGTGCAGGTCGTGCTCCGACATTGATGAATATCTTCTGGCCTTGGACAGTTCTCACGTTGCCACCACTATCTTTGTACTTGAGTGTCTTCTCGTCCACGAAAGTCGCCTCACCTGTCAGGACATCCACGCCAGCATCTCTTAACTTAGTCTCACTACCACCGCGGAATGAGGCGACGATGTTGCGTTTCCGTTGGCGGACCGTGAGCATGTCGACCACGGCCACATTCACATCAGTCTCGTGCTGACAAGTGTGTATACCATAATCTAGTCCCTTACGAAGTAGATAGGCGATGCGACCTGATGCAATTAACGTTTTTGTCGGTGTACAGCCATCATTAATACAGCTTCCACCAATATGCTCGCGTTCAATCAGCGCTGTTTTTTGTCCTGCTTTCGCAAATGCGGCGGCCAGGGGCGTGCCAGATTGGCCCGAACCGATAATTATGACTTTGTACTGCAAGTTTGTCGCCATATTGCAATAGTGCTTCAGCGAGTTGAGCACAGCCGGGCGACGAAACATCAACTAGTAACTGATTCAAAATATTTGTTCGGTTAGGTTCGAGCAGGTCAATAGGAGTCAGTAGTTGATCCTACGGAGGTTCTGAAACAATACCTAGAGCTATGCTTCAATGGAGGTATTAGCATAGCGACAAGGCAACCAATTCACTATTCAATGATGCATGGTCTTGCGTTATTGGTTGGAATGTGGAATCATGAACGTCATGACGGTCTTCAAAGGCATCGATAACGTAATTCCCGGCTGAGTTAGCCACCTGGCTGATCCGGCCACTTCGCTCATTACTAATTTCTAATTAGCATCTTTCAGTCAAAATGCTATAATGTATTCACATGTAGCTAGCTGCCTTCACATTGATTTAATCTACGCCTAATCTTTCCGCACCTACTACACCTAAGGCTGCGTGCGTTTGGGCAGCGGAAGTGGTAATACAGGCTACTGAGCAGCAGCTGGCGGAGGTGATTGAACGCGCTTAAATGGTTTGGTCGGGCGGCTGAAGTAGTTCCAGTCCCTCCCGAGGTAAAATCGCATTGTCTACTATCTGCATTTTGGGGGAAGGCCCCCGCCAGCGGAGGCGGCGAGGGCCTGTTTGGGGACGCCTATTGTGCGGTACTGGGGGAAGTCGTGGTGTCATTGGCCGCATTGGTCAGCAAGCTCATCCTCCGAGTGATGAACTGATATACCTAGCCTCTGTCCCATAACTCCGCTGGAATACACGATCTAGTGGCCCCTTCACTAGCAGCTCAAAGTTATATTATTGTTTGTCATAATGACCGGAAACGAGAGTGCGATGAATTTGACCAGGAAAGCAATCGAGGAACATTGGCGGGCATCGGAGGACAGTGATACCGAAGCCGAACACACCATCTATGCCGTAGACGCGATCCTAGACTACCCGCAATCAGGGGAGCGTTTCAAAGGTCGTGCGGCGATTTCTGCACAGCGTGGTAGACACCCGGCTGACCGGCATTTTACGGTGCTGCGGATCTCAGGCGACGGCCATCTATGGGTGAGCGAGTGCATCATCACCTATGATGGAGTACCAACATACTCAGTCTCCATCATGCAGTTTGCTCGCGAGCTTGTGGTACACGAGACACAGTACTTCACTGATAAATTCAGTGCACCTCCGTGGCGGGCAGCGCTCGCCGAGCCTATACCAGGCAGGCATATCGAAGAGGCATGATCACGGCCTGGGCCCAAGCCAAATCTTCCACCGTTTTTGAGAAAAGTGATTTTGGCAATCAGGGAATGTGGGGAACATGGACTGAGAAGGAAAGTCAAGCTAAGTAGCTTAATAACCTCTTCGTACACAACTACAGTAAATTCACTGCACATATATCCCTTTAACTTCTCTGTAATCTAAGCTCTGGTTTCATTAAAGTTACACCATATTATGATTAATGACTCCATCACAACCAGAACATGGCAATGTGAAAAAGCAAAATCTCTCAGAATTAAAAGTACATGCGCCTTCCTCCACACATAGCACCCATGGATCATCTCTTCACAAGACAAACAGATGAACATCCAAGCACAGCTACTTCCTTCTTCCTACTTAAGAGCTCTCATCCCTCAGCACCTGTGAAATAGCTGTCATACCATCCTGAAGTTGCTGGCGCATCGGCCATCCATAGCCAAGGCGGAAGAAGGTACCTGGCATCTCGAAGCAGTGGCCTGGCCCAATATATGTGTCGTACTTGTTCAGCAATCAATCCAAGAATGCTTTCTTCCCACGTAAGGGGTACTCTAAGACTCTATGGTCAGTGAACCACATCCTCTTACTCCTTGCCGAGAACATATGTGGTAGATCGCGTCTTCGTGGGATCAGCAGAGCTGAAAGACGTCGCCAAACTCGGCTTAGAGTCGTGGGCTTCCCGTCAATCGATGCTCGGTTAAGGTGAGCGTAGCCAACTCTATTCCGAGACCAGGGCAAGCATTATAAACCAAACCAATTAATCTCAGACATACATCCTGTGATTTCCCATACAGTAAATCATCCAATAAACCGATCATGACGCGCGCCCAAGACTTCGAACAACTCTACCAAGGCAAAGGCATCCTCGAGACCTACAAAGTCGCCGAGAAAATCACTCCTTACTATGCCCAGGATCTAGTCGACCTTTTGGGCCTGCCCAAAACTACCCAGAGACCGCTGGTAGTTCTTGACCTCGCCTGCGCCACCGGGGTCATTGCCGATGTGCTGCATGCAACGCTTGCTTCCGAAGCACTGGAAAGCTGGAAGCTGACTTGCGGTGATATCTCAGCTGAGTTGGCTAGCCATGTTAAGCGCAAGATTTCAGAGCACGGGTGGTTGAATACAAGTGCACGAGTGATGGATGCGCAGAAGACGGAGCTGCCAAGTGCGCACTTTACGCATGTCTTTGTGGCCCTTGGTGGGTTCTTTCCAAACCACCTTGACTTTCAAAGGGATCTTGCTGATTTTTTGAAAACATTTACGTCTTTCCCCGATAGGTATGCTGCGATGAATGGTTTGTTAAGGAGTCATTCCATCTTCCGAGAAACGGGATCCTAATGAACTAACAGGATGTTGTTCGAATCGTCCGGCCGGGAGGACGGCTTACCATCTCAACATGGCAGCAAAGTAAGCATCCGTATCTCCCCAAAGCTTGGTAAATCAGGGTGACTGCCAGGGCACAGTTGAATGGTTATCCATACTCGAAGCCGCCGTCGCCACTATCCCTGGCAATCTGCCATTCCCTACCACCAAGGAGTCCATGTCCTACAGGAATGCCGGCTGGGATACAGAAGAGTACGTTGAATGTCGCCTGAAGGACCTTGGCCAGAGTCATCTCCAGCTCCATCAGGTACAGCTTGACGCGCGTCTTGTCCGGACTGACAGGATCACAGGATAGGAAGTAGAGATCCATTTAATTCTGGCGCTGCATGTGCGCCTCAATGGCCTTGCAAGCGTCCCCAAAACGTCCCTGTGTGTCAATTCTGCGGATCGCGGAGAAGCGGAGCTGAGCCAAGGACTGCCCCGTCGCCGCGGCCTTGAGGGCCGGGTAGAAATACTCCTTCAGGGTGACGCCGTCTTGATCAGGTCCAGGGCCATAAAATCGAATCTAACCCTCACCGAACTCGCAGCGGTTTTGGGCTCGGTCCCTAGCCTAGGGAATCGCACCGGTTTCGGTTTCCCTAGGGTGAAACCGATTTGAGTTCTGTTAAAACCATCGGTTAAAGTTTTTGAGGTTTTATCTGCCTAGGTTAGCCAACCCTCACTGTTTTGCTTAGTAATCACTAATTTCTAGGACTTGTCTAGAAATATTAATACTACTAGATAGCCTAGTGTCTAGTCTATCTAAACATGAAATATCAATTCAAATTACCTAGTGGTTGCTGAGATATAAGAGAGTAATTATCACTATTATAGGTTGGTATGAAAGTGGCGCGAGATATATATAAGGGCACCAAGCTCTAACAACCATCGTTTACCTTTTAAATAATTTTCAACCACCACCCATTCAACCTTGTAGATATCAAATTGATATTTATAATATAGATGAGAATGATCATAATTACCATATATTTTATATAACAATAATAATTTTATTATATAAGTATGGTAGATAGTATGGCATTTAATAAGGGATTGATTAATTTGAAATATTAAAATAGTCAATTTCAGCGGTTTATCCGACCCGAAATCGAACCAAATCTAACCATGGTTAGTTGTAGGGGCCTAGCTAGGCCTGTCCAGGCCTAGTGGCGGGATTTTGCAGTGAAACCGCAACCAACTCAGAACAGATTAGGTTTGGTTCTAATTTCTAAAATTTAGACTTGAAATTATAGCAGTTCAGATCTAGCTAGGTTAGACTTGCCTGAACTCAGACCAAATGCAACTCTAAAGTATATATTAGAATTGTGCGCACTAGGCACTATGATCACCCCTAATTACTATTAGGCCCATGGACTCCGCGTGCAACACCATTACTAGACTCATCAACCAATGCTGGAGGTATCACAGCATGCTTTTCAAGTCTCCAGGATACTTGATTCTCCTCATGCAATCCCGACTACAATCAGCAACTGTCTCCATGCCGGCCAACCCCATACCCTGCCACAGATCTGCAAGTATTCCCTCAATCACAGACTTTGCGCCCTTCTTACCCCCAATAGCAAGGCCATATATAACAGGCCTTCCGATCAGAACAGCCTTAGCTCCAAGACACAATGCTTTCATGACATCCGCCCCCGTTCTTACCCCAGAATCAAACATTACCGTCATCTTATCACCCACCGCATCAACAATTTCGGGAAGCGCATCCAATGACCCAATAGCACCATCAACCTGCCGACCTACAAGGCATCAGCGCATGCTAATCCAATGGGATAAGGTGAGGTCAAACCCCCATGATTCGAAACAATCAACCCCTCACACCCCGTCTCCAACGCCCTCCTCGCATCACCCACATGCTGGATTCCCTTCAAAACAATCGGACCCTCCCAATGCCTCCTCAAAAATTCCACCTGCTCCCATGTATGCGGCTGGTCGTCCAACTCCGCGACCCAAGCCTTCGCAGCCCCAATAATGTCTTCCTCGATCCTTCCACCTGCTTTCTCATACTTGGCCCTAAACACCGGATCCGTAAAACCCACCTCATTGCCAATCCCCCAATAAAACGGAAAGTATCCCTGATCGAGATCTGTAGGTCGCCATCCTAACGTCCATGTGTCAAGGGACACGACCAGGACTGTAAACCCATTCTCTTTGGCGCGCTTGAGTAGTGAGAGGAGGATATCCTTGTCGTGCACCCAGTAAAGCTGGAACCATCGAGGGCCGGATTTACTTGCTGCAGCGACGTCCTCAATCGAGCTGCTGCTTGCTGTGCTTAGGGTGTAGGGAACTTCAAGTTCTGCGCAGACCTCGGCAACGCCAGTTTCTTTGTCGTTGTGGAAGAGGCCTTGCACGCCTACTGGCCCTACGATGAGGGGGGTTTTGTATCCTAGGCCAAAGAGGTTGACTGAGATACTTTGCTTGTCCATCTAGAAGAGGGCTGTCTTAGTTATCATTCAAGAAGGTAAGTACCGGGCAGATATTGGTGGAAAAACAGGGTAAGCAAACCGGCCTCATAACTCTTGGAATCCTGTTATCATCCAGATTAACTCTTGGTCTCTCAATTTCCTTTTCCCCGCTCTCCAAATTCGCTGGGGGTGAGGACTTACAACTTCCATTGTCGAAATGCCAGCCGGTTAGCATCCATCGTTGCCTTTTCTCCTGCCCCGCCGGCCACATAGCTGTATGCCCGCGGACTGAGAACTTTCCGGGCATGGTGTTCGAGGAGTGTCGGGTTTGTGGTTACGGCAGGAAGTCTACCCAGCGCTGCACCTTCGTGGTAGATCTTCGTCTGATAGCTGCCGAAGTTGATGGGGGGCATTTCGGATGTAAAATCGATGAGGTGGCTGGTACGTGGTTGCGTACACGGAAGTATCTCACAAAGCGGAGGTTGACCCTGCACACCTTACTCGGTTGTCTCAGGAATAAATAGGAAAGTGTAATGATATTTTGTTTGGCTTTATAGCCTAGTACTACTAGATATAATAAAATATATCCATAATTATTCCTCAATGATGGTTGTTCTTGATATTGTCTGGGGATGTGGGGCTGAGAGTTTGGTATGCCCGAATCTACTGACACCTTGCGCACTCTATGCGATGGCTTAGGAGTTCTTGGTAAAGGTGCATTTAATGTGACTAAACCTGAGACAACTGTCAACTGTGCTATGCGTAATCAAAGTGTGTGGGTGGGTTGGGAACACAGATGCTGAGCCTACCTACATGGACAAGTTAGGACGCAGCATTGGGTACCTAAATATCTCATCCCTTATCACATGAGGTCTGAAGACTCTCATCTTCAGGGATTCCAAACTGAATGTATTCTGGTTTCTTTTTTTTTTTTTTTGTTTTTTAAGTGCTCGTATTTAGTACATGCGTACTGCCTTTGACGTTCAAGATCCATGACCCCTTGCACAAATGCCCAAAAATACCCAGAAAAGGAAAGATGTACGTTGTACATCGTCCGTATCCACATAGTTGGCACCTCTGATTTTGATGCTAGGTTCATACCCCCTTGCAAATAGACAATGAGCAATACATCTGACCCTGTGTCGACGGAGGCCTCATTAATAGCTTCACCGCTTGGTAATAGAGAGTATAGCATGTCTCAGCCTCGCAAAGTTGCAGTACAAGGAAGGAATGCAAGGTTCCGGCGTTGAGCTCGTACTCGTGCGACAAGACTCCGAGGGCGACAGCTACCAAAGGAGGAATGCGTGGTGTAATGGCCAGGGAGTAAGGAGGGGCCTCCCTACGTGGTCCTGCAGGTTTGGACTGCGGATCAGATCAGGGATATACCAGCCATTCTAGCTCTTTACTCCGGTGCCTCGGCCGTCACGTGGTTCATTCACGGATGATAGTAGTACCATAGACATAGTATGGACAATTCCAGAAGCTTGAGTGCGCCCCCATACTAGATTCGGTATGTATACTCAGCCCGACAAGGGCTCACAAAGGCATCATTACCCGAATTGGTATTCAGTCCACTGTAGATTATGAATGCATATAACTATAGCAGCGGCGTGTGGTGGTGAGATATGCCAAGACTGGGTGGTAGCTGTACCCGCATACTTTGGGAAGGCAGGGAGTATCCATGACAAGTTATGGGAAGTGTATTATGAAGCAGAAATATAAAGTGCATTATTTACGTATTGCTGCTCTGCTAGTCTTCTCAGACATTTGTCAAATATACATTTCATCCATTGACAGGATGACGTGCTGATCTGTACATGTGGCCTTCAGGGACTGCCTCTCTCATCAGTTTCAATACTTCACAGTCGTCTAGAGGATGATGGCGCGCTTTCGTGACATAGACCTCAGTCGTTACTGTGTGTCTGCCATTACTGGATTTTTGCCCGAAAGTCCTCCGTTGGAAAGACTCCCAAATCCGTACTATGACCCTTGGGAAGATACCGTTTTTGATCTGCCGCAGCTTATCGCAAGCGACACATTGAAGGATAAACTTGACAGGTTGCCAACCCTATCAACAACAAAGCTTGACGCCGAAGAAGAGTGGCGTAGAGCATATGTCGTGCTCTGTTTTCTATCCCAGGGTTATATCTGGAGTGGCAACAAACCTAGAAGGGTGAGTGCATAAACTTTTTATACTTGTGAGAGGTGTGTGGCTGCTACATGTACTAACACTGGTGGTAAGGAACTCCCAATATCAATCGTCGCCCCGCTCAGAAAAGTGTCCGAATACCTCGCCATTAACCCCTGTGGAACGTTCGCCGCATACTGTCTCTGGAACATAGGTTTAAACCCGACGTTCGGAAATGAACGATCAAACCCAGAAGACTTTGTCTCACTCTGCACGTTCACCGGTTCCAAAGAGGAAGAATGGTTCTATGTTATCTCCGTCGCTATAGAGGCACAAGGCGGAAGACTCATATCCCAGATGCTCGACGCCATCGACGCAGTACACGAAAATGATGCATCCCGAGTAAGGAGCTTCCTAGAGGCATTTATCACATGCGTCGACAGGATCTCTGCTACTTTGAGTCAACTGAACAAGAATCTCTCACAGGAATTCTTCTATTATAGGTTACGTCCCTTCTTGCGAGGGAGTAGAAACATGGCTAGGACGGGATTACCGGATGGAATATACTACCCTCGATGCCAGTGTCAAGGGGGAGAGGGTGAATGGTTAGCTTATAGTGGCGGAAGTAATGCGCAGAGCTCGCTGATCCAGTTAATGGACATCATTTTGGGAATTGACCACGAGGTGGACTTCATCAAAGTAAGTCTTGGGAATCCAGCAGAGGCAAATGACGAAGTAGCCCCTAGCTAACGGATCCCAATTGAGGATATGAGAAGTTACATGCCCGGCCCGCACAGAGAGTTTCTGGAGCTCATGAAAAGTGCATCCAATATCCGGGCGTACACGCTGAGCCAGGGAAATGATCCAGATGTACAACGGGTGTATAACGAAGCAGTTTCGCGACTTGGAGCATTACGAGACAATCATATCCGCGTGGTAGCGAGGTATATCTTTGTTCCGGCGGGGAAAGAAAGCCCTCTAAGCGGCTGCGCGCACACGCAAGAAAGCGGAAGGGGGACTGGTGGAACAGATATAATGCAGTTCTTACGGATGACGCGAGACACCACGAAGTCTGCTTGCTGCGAGAGATCTAAGGCTTCTACAGCTGAGCAAGCTTGTCAGGACTGCGATGGCAGATCAACGAAGCCGGATTGGCAAGCTAAGGCAGCGACCCTTGTCATAAAACAGAGTATGTGTGAGAAAGATGGTTCGGGCCCTGAGAAACCGAAGTCTGCTGGGAGAGTGTCGTTTTGTCAATCTTGTAAGACTAGCCTCGAGGCTTCATCATGAGCCTTCGTATACTTTTACAGTTGGAAGAGCGAATACAAATGTAATACGCCATCAGGAGGCGTGTAGCAACTCATTAGCTATCTATCAGGCGTAGGATGTTGGCCCTGAATTAAAGTTAAAGGGGGGGGATGTCTGTAACGTTGCGGGTTTTGAGGAATTCCAAATCTGCCAATGCGTAATAAGTGAAATACACAATATTATAAAAGTTGTGTTTCTTACTCACGCAGTGATAAAACATGCATAAGTTGTGCATTTCCAATGTATGCGGGCAGTCCAGATTGCTTTGGCTTTAAAGATTTCCCTAACCTAGATATGCGGTAGCGGTGTTGTGTCGGGCAGGGGAGGCAAGGGTGCCGCTTACTCTCCCTGCAGCAGATTCTATGTGGCCCGAATTGGCGATAAGTTGACTGGGATTGCGCCATCTGCGTAATATGGTCCAGACAGACATGGTCTATGGCGGAGATGCAGTGATATTCATGTGGTTGGTTGTACATTGTTTGACTTCTTGAGCACCTGGATTGTCCAATTCAAATGTCTATAAATATCAGAACAAATTCTAACTATCCTGGCTTCTGGTCTTTCTCTCATTTAACTGGACTCCTTTACAACTCCAGCATAATGACCCGTCAAGGCATCCAAGCAGAACATCTCGCCTCTCGCATCACACAACTCACCCGCCAATATAGTGAGAAGACAGAAGAAGGTGTGGAAGCCAGCGAAGAGATTCGGTCTATCTCCGCCGCCTGCACAGAGCTCAACGCCTTAATCAGCACTCCAGAAAGCTGGGTTGAGCGTATAGCTCTATCATACAGTAGCAGTGTGGCAATTTGCATCCTCCTCGATCTGAATGTTTTCCACCTACTCTCAAAGAACAACGAATCTGCTTCGCTGGATACCCTAGCCAGATTCTCGGGGTGTTCCAGGGCGTTGTTGAGTATAACAACTTGCTTTGTTTCATTTGAACACGTTGTGCTAATTTTTGAAAGGATGTGCGCTGAAGGAGGTCGTGGCAAAACATATCCTTGATGAGCCCTCTCTTGAGATATACAAGCTCAACGACCGGTCAAGGTACCTGCTAAATGATAATAACGCGTGCTGGGTCCATTACCTGTGAGTTATTTTAGATCGAACCGCGTCTGAGCTATAGGCACTATTGAGACAACGCAACAAAGAGTAGATATTGGCCTTCAAGCGGCAGCATCCCTTCCTGAATATGTCCGTGATAACCGCGGAAAGATACCAGAGGATCGGCACAGAAATGCGTTCCAGATGACATTCAACAGTGAGTCCTCGATAAAGCCTTTTCCTCTTTCTGAAGGGCCATACACTAAATTAGTCAGCTGATCAACCCTTCTATCAATATCTTCGCTATGCTGATCCTCTTCGTGGCGAACGCTTCGATAAAGGCCTTCAGCGCCACGCGGAGGGAGCCGCGCAGACTTCTATCGAGGACGTCTTCAATTTCACCCACTTGAAGCCTGGAGCTGTTGTTGTCGATGTCGGTGGAGGACGAGGACAGCATTCCATCCGGATTGCTCGACAGCACCCGCAGCTATCATTTATTATTCAAGATTATGAAAATGCCTTCCCGAGCAAGGAAGATATTAATGATGAGAGCGTGTTTAGTCGGCTTCAGTGGCAGCAGTACGACTACTTCACCGAGCAGCCCGTTAAAGGGGCGCATGTTTACTTGCTGAGTAATATTCTGATGGACAATGCAGAAGGGTAAAGGATCTATGGCTATAATTAGGGTTTAAGATGCTAACAAGGAACCAGTGACTGTCGACGCATCCTAGAAAAAATCGCTGAAGCCATGACTCCCAAAATATCCGTTCTCTTGATTGATGACGGGATAGAGCTTAATTCGAACCAATGCCATTCGTGCTACGGAAGTTCGATGAATATGCACATGTTGGCTGTGCTGGGTACACTGTTTCGGACAAGTGGAGAGTGGCAGGCGCTGTTCTCTCAGATCTCAATCAGGCTAGAAGTGGCTCATTCTTGGCTTGTGGATGGTGGAAGAGTTATTTTTGAGCTGAGAAGGATGGCTTGAATATGCTCTAGTTACGTTACAGATTGTTCCCTTACGGATGAGGATTGTTCAGACCCTCTTAACTACGCTATTTCTGTTTTAACTCGACATCATGCGCTGTCCATTGAAACTGCGACGCGGCCACCAAAATGCCCAATGCCTGTTCTATGTACATGTTGATCTATGTAGTGTGTGCTTGGAATGCATTCTGAGCAGAGTAAATAATCCGTGTGGGATTTTAGGAACGATCTTTACCCTTAGAAGTGGAATGAAGCTAGGGATGAGGAATTTAAGCCCCTTTACGGCTGAATGAGCGGTGAGACTTTCTGAGGTAATATCATATATCTGGAAGGTCTGCAGAAAATGTGGATGGTCTCCTAATGTTGCTAGTCAGAAACATATTGTCTGTTCCGTAGTTATCTAAGCATTCCCGCTGCTCAACGCCCAGGTTTGACTGCAAACTTCTCCTGTGCGGTCAATTAAGCCTTGATTCGCAACATTATACTATTTCGAAATCGGGAGCCATGGAGGCGGAGGCTTGTGTCTTGCCTGTCAATGACGGTGAGAAAGGTCAAGACAGGGAACAGATTAAGGAGGTGTCAATAGGCCGTCTAGCGCTCCGGACAAGTTTCGATGATACCCTGCAAGATGGCCTATTCTCGGTTCTCATTCTAGCATGGGCTCTTGTACTGCGCAGGTTCACAGATATGGACGATGTGCGTTTTGCTGTCCATAGCACCCCGACGGACAAGACCGTGCCAAAGGTAAAAGAACGGAGTCTGCAAATATGTGAAGTATCTATTCCTCCAGAGGTTAATGTTCGAAGATTTTTCGAGGAGGTGAGGTACAAGATGAAGCAGTGGCAACTGGAGCTCGCTTCCGAAGTCAATACTGTTGTCGTCTTGGGACATGAGGCCGAGGAGGTCAAAGAGGACGTGGGTCTACTCTTCCAGTCAGGATGTAAGAATCATGTAAGAATTAACTGCCGCTGTTGGAGAATCAATGACGGGCTGACACAGGCAAACAGCAGTATGATCTTGCGGTTGTGGTCAGAACGAACGAGAGTATGTCTGAGACAAGTCTCTACTATCGAACGGCGGCCGTATCCAAAGCACGTGCAAAACGTCTGGCGGGAAATGTGGCACAAGCCCTCAAGTGCCTGATTGAGAATCCAGAGCAGATATTTTGCGATATGAATTTCTGTGGGCCCGAAGATTATCAACAAATTGCCCAGTGGAATAGCGCACCTAACACCGAGGCAGCACATGAGTTTGTTGACGACATCATACTTAAGCACGCAGTCCACCAGCCCACAGTGGTGGCGGTACACTCCTGGGATGGTGACTTAACTTATGCTGAGTTGCATAACTTGTCCTCAGAACTGGCGGCCCACTTGCAATCACTTCGTGTCGAGCCAGGGGACCCAGTACCACTGTGCATGGAAAAGTCCCTCTGGACTATTGTCTCAATTCTAGCCGTGATCAAATCAGGCGCAGTCTTTGTTCCACTTGAAGCATCGCAACCAGTGAAACGGCTGGAAAATATTATTGCACAATTGAAGGGTGGGGCCATTATAGCCTCACCTCAACACGCGGCTGCGTTGTCAAACACTGGGAGAAGGGTAGTCAGCGTAAGCAGAGCGGATATGGAACAGCTGCCCTCCTCAGATCATGCTGTGACCCACCGAACACCGACAGACATGGCCTATATCCTTTTTACCTCTGGAAGTACAGGGGCTCCAAAGGGATGTGTCATGGAGCATCGGGCATTAACGGGCTTTGCGAGGCACGTTGAACCATTGCAAGTCGAAAGCAACAGCCGGGTGTTGCAGTTTGCTTCGTATGGAGTGCATGCTTCTCTTGTAGAGATATTTTGCTCTCTTACGGCAGGTGCAACTCTCTGTATTCCCTCGGCCCATGAGCGAATGAATGACCTCCAGGGTGCCATTGAGCGGATGAATATTAGTTGGACACTAATGACGCCTTCTACCTTGAAGACACTTGATACCAAAGCAATGGGCACCGTGCAAACAATAATTATTGGGGCAGAGCCGATTCCAAAGGACGCATACGAGGATTTTGAGGGTAGTTTCCGACTGCTCATCGGATACGGAATGACAGAATGGGGTGGTATACTGACGGCGCAGAAGGAAGGAACGAGAGACACGAAAAACATTGGTAGTCCATTTCTGGGAAGGATCTGGCTCGTCGAGCCACTTGATCACCATCGACTCGCTCCTGTTGGTGCAGTGGCTGAACTGGTAGTTGAAGGACCATATCTAGCTCGTGGCTATTTGGATGACCACCAGAAAACATCGGAGACGTTCATTGTGAACCCGTCATGGCTCATCCACTTCAGTACAGAGCCGAGTCGTGAAAGAATATTCTACAAGACAGGGGATCTCGTTCAATATGCCGAGGACGGTACCCTCTGCTATGTCGGTAGAAAGGATAATCAAGTCAAGTTGCGTGGGTACCGCATTGAACTAGGAGAGGTTGAGTATCATCTCCGACAGTGCTGGGACCGTGCAGAGGACGTTATTCTTACCGACGTGGTTACGCCAACAGACAACTCTGCAACGCCATCACTAACAGCATTCATATGGGACAAAGAAGCATCTTTGGCTGAGAAGCTCGCATCAGTTAGGTCTATGCTATTCATGATTCCCGACGAACAATTTCGCACACGGGTGTCAGTGGCAGATTCTAAACTGCGTGCAGCTCTGCCGGCCCATATGGTACCAACCATCTATATTCCCCTTTCGCATGTGCCGATGACATTTTCTAGGAAGATCGATCGAAGGACTTTGAGGATGCAGGCAGCCATGCTAGACCAGGATCAACTTCTTTCGTATAGAACTGGAGAACAGAATGGCAAGCATGAGAAGGCAATGCCGAGATCGGATACTGAAAAGGCGCTTCATCGTATGTTTGCACTGCTACTCAACCTTGATGAGACGAAGATTGGAGTCAACGACAGTTTCTACAACCTTGGTGGCGACTCGATTGGCTCAATGCAGCTTGTATCTATGTGCCGTGCGGAAGATATTCCATTGTCTGTGGAGGATCTATTTGAGAAGGAAACTATAGCTGAACTTGCTGCTGCTGCCGATCAGAATAGGTTGCGGTAGATTATCATATTCTTACTGCATAAATTGAACGATGACGCGAGTTAATCTCAATTGCTGACACATGAAAAGTATCAGATGGCTCACAGCATTGTCAGTAGACCTCTATAGGCGAAATTCTTGATATATTTCGCGGTAGGCCCTGTAGTGGGGAGAACTTGGTAAACTCCAGGCCATCCTGCACTCAACTGCTCAACGAATTCCAGCCTTGTATAATGTGGGAACTGCTCATCTTCTTTGACCGCTATTTGAACGCCCCAAATTTCTCTTGCATTCTCCCACCCTCTGGTGCGCGTTAGGGTGCTTAACTTTCACGCCCTCATGTGGAATATGGAATAGATATTTGTCTGTATTACTTAGACGCATACCAACAGTAACCTTGTAATGCTGGTTGTGCCATACATGCATTGTTAAGAATGCCTGCGTCCTATCCTGCCAGCTCCAGGCATGAACATCATTGATCCGTTAGCGTCTGTGAGCCCTTCCTTACATTCAAGTCATACTGTACTCATGCCCCAAGCGGAGAACGAAAGAATCGTAGGAATGGAGCAACTTTCACATGAAATGCGATGGAAGTGGCTTCTCCTTGCCGCAATGAGTTGGCGTTGCTGGAGCGAGTCAATCAGCATAGACGATCAGCGTGGACTTTCAGTCTTCGATGTCCTGTGCGCAATACCCCTTTAGTTACACCAGTTCGGTGCCGCATACTGGATGGGATTGTAATATTTGTACTACGCAATGTATACACCACTGCTCCCTTTGAAAGTACAACCAGGGTTTCCGCAAGCGCCCTCCAGGTAAGCCAACGTTCCACAGCAAACAAAGAGTGCCTTAAGACTTGTAAGCTTTAAGATACTACGAACGTCCAGCTGAAGTATACCAAGAAGAGTCAGGAAGAGCTACATCATCCTTCTGTCCTACTTCCATATCTAACTGTCCGTCCCGGTCAACCCGAACTAAAAACTTCACTGCACGGAGTCGAATAATTTCCCACGTTCAAAGCTCAACAAACCAAATCTAAGTTCGCTACACACTGCAAACTCATCATACAGACCATTGAAACACTTCATTATGGCGGATACCACTTCCAAGGCTCAAACCTTCAAACGGAGGCACAGGATGTCGCCAGTACAGTCCCAATTCTGGTTCTCAGAGCAATACATGAACGACCCTACGCAGTCCAACATGGCAGTGACCTACAAAACGAGCGGCAATTTTCAAGTACCGCAGTTCAGAATGGCGCTTGAGCAAGTCCTTGCTCGGCATGAGTCTCTACAAACTGCGTTCTTCATGGATCATGACACCGGCAAACTGGTACAAGCGGTGCGATGCGAGCCGTTGCCGTACTTCGAATACATCGAGGATGCTGACGAGGTCTCGTACGTGAAGGAATTTGAGAAAGCAAAGGAAAAAACATGGCGGCTAGATCAAGGTGAAGTTTTCCGGGTTACAGTCCTCAACATAGGCACTGGGGACTATAAAATATTATTCTATTTTCATCACCTGGCAGTGGATGCCTATAGCTGGTCAATCTTCCTAAAGGAATTGAACTTAGCCTGCCAAGGGAAGGAGCTCCCGCCTATGCCTCCGTCATACACGGAGTATTCAGAGGCGCAACATCGTGCCATCGAAACAGGAGAATTTAATCGACAATTCAAGTATTGGAGACAGAACCTGACGCCGCTGCCTGAGGTGAGTCCGTTACTTCCTTTTGCACGAGTGAAAGCTCGAGCAGCGACGAGGGACTTTCAGAGCCATATCACTACGACAGAGATCAACCCGAGATGTACGGAGCGGGTGAAGGCACTCTCACGAAGCTTGCGAGGGTCTCCGTTCCATTTCCATCTCTCTGTAATTCACATTCTTCTTTGTCGTTTATTGGGCACCGACGAGGTCTGTATCGGCACGACAGATGCCGGGCGGTCTGATTTCCGCTTTTCGAATACCGTGGGGTTCTTCGTGAATACCCTACCTCTTCGACTGCGAGCCGAGCAGGGAGATAACTTCACTACTTTGTTCCGTCGAACTGCAGGAACTGCAGTCTCAGCACTGAGCAATTCGGCCGTGCCGTTTGGATATATTCTAGATCAGCTTAATATACCTCGCTCCTCACAACACACACCGATCTTTCAAATAATGGTGAACTATCGCATGGGCGAGGTGATGAACCTGCCAATGGGCGATGCTTATTTGAAGTATGTGGATGCCGTCCAGGCGAGGTCTCCATACGATATGACCATTAATATCACGCCCTCGGCTACAAGGCCGTGGATGCTCGAGGTCGTCTGTCGTAATTATCTCTATAGTCCGGAAAGCGCGCAGAGATTCACAGACATATATTCTCATCTTCTGCAGCAAATTTGTGACGATCCGACTCTCTCCGTTGAGCGCTATTCTCTGTTTCCGACGACCCTCATTAACGATGCTCTTCGTCTCGGAGAGGGTGAGATTCAAGAACACCAGTGGCCGGAGACGTTAGTTGAGCGCTTTGACAACATCGCAAGAGAGCATGCAGAAGCCGTTGCAGTGACTGATGCATCAGGACCCCATAGCTATGCAGACCTGGCATCTTTGATAAATGGAATTGCTGGTGCTCTGCTCGAGACGGGTATTGAGGTTGAAGCACGAATCGCGGTCCTCTGTGAGCCTTCCCTGCAAGCTATCGCCGCGATGCTGGCCGCTCTTCGAGTCGGAGCGGTGTATGTCCCAGTGGATATTGGTCTTCCAGTAGAGCGTCAGACGTCTATCCTAGCGGATTGTAAACCAGCAGTGCTGGTTTGCCAAGCTACAACCATGGGAACTGCGAAGATCCTAACGGGAGATGGCATCTACATTATCAATACCGACAGCCTTGACACATCACAGTCCACGGCACCTGCACCCAATAGAGGAGAACCCACCTCCCTTGCCTTCATTCTTTACAGCAGTGGCTCCACCGGAAAGCCAAAAGGAATCATGCTCCCACAGGCCATGTTCAGAAACTGGATACCCGCCCAAGCACAAACTTTCAAATACCGACCCGAGACGGTGCTGCAGCAGAGCTCTCTCGGATTTGACATGTCCATCGCCCAGATGTTCTTAGCTCTTGGATTTGGCGGAACCCTAGTGATAGTACCCCAAAACCTCCGCTTCGACCCTATCGGAATTTCACGGTTAATGGTCTCAGAACGAGTAACGCTAACCTTCGGCACACCCGCAGAATACACAATGCTGCTCCGCTATGGTATTGAGTACCTGACTTTACTACGGTCGTGGCGTTTCGTTTATGTCGGCGGAGAACTTGTAACCGACCACCTGATCTCAGAGTTCCATCAACGTTTGAGTTGTTACTGTCCCAATATTACCATTGCCTATGGCCCTACCGAGGCAGGAGGGGTCGTATGCACTCGTCCTCTTTCTGGTAAAGAGGAGAGTATCATGGAAGGGAACGTGGGAAAAGTTTTCCCTAACACATCCTTGTACATTGTAGACGATAACGTGAGTCTGCTTCCGCCGGGATTTCCTGGAGAAATCTGCATCGCTGGCGGGGGTGTGGGATTGGGATACCTAGATGCCACAATGGCCGAAGGGAAATTCCTCAACAACCCATTTGCCTCTGCAGAGTATCGATCTCGCGGGTGGACGAAGCTGTACCGGACAGGGGACAAAGGCAAGCTGTTAGAAGACGGATCACTACTATTCATGTCCAGACTGGCCGGTGAAACGGTGCTGAAACTTCGTGGAATACGCGTGGATCTGGAAGAAGTGTCCCACGCCCTTTTGGAAGCAGCTCCTGATCTGATTTCGCATGCAATTGTCTCGGCAAGAGGGCAAGGAGAATCCCGGTTTCTCGTCGCGCATGTTGTTCTAGCACCGGGTAAGGCTGCTAGTCACGTCGAGCTTCAAACTATAGCCGCCAATCTTCCCCTGCCTCAGGCAATACGTCCGAGTATCATTGTACCGGTTGATACGATACCTACGACGCCGAATGGCAAGGTTGACAGGAAAGCAGTCGCCGCACTTCCATTACCAGAGACGAACGCTGCCTCGAAGGCCGACCAGTCTTTCACGCTTGCAGAAGCCGAACTCAAGATGCACTGGGAGGAAGTCTTATATCAGACGGCTCCTGCAATGCCGATTTATCCCAAGTCCGATTTCTTTGCTGTAGGCGGGACATCAATCCTCCTAGCCAAGTTACAGGGTACGCTCAGGCAATCCACAGGAATCACCATCCCTCTGGCGGAGCTATTCAAGTCCAGCACCCTGAACAAGATGGCCACCATGCTGAGCTCGAAGAAGTCAGAGATCATGGACGACACAATAAACTGGGACGAAGAAACAAAAGTGCCCGATCATTTCGTTCAATACCGCCGTCACCAACCGGGCCCCTGTCGCCCACCTATCGTCCGCGAAGTCCTTTTGACTGGCTGTACAAGCTTCATTGGCAAAGCCATCCTCACCACACTTCTCGACACGCCCACAATCACAAAGGTCCACTGCATTGCCGTCGCACCCGAACAATCATCATCCTTGCCCTCCTCCGATCGAGTCATAATCTACACCGGTCATCTAACGGACCCTCTCCTCGGTATCCCAAAAGCGAACTTCTCCACCCTCCACTCAACAATCGACCTGATCGTCCACGCCGGCACATTCGGCAACTGCATGAACCGGTACTCTTCCCTCCGTGTGCCCAATTTTCATTCAACTATATTCCTTGCGGAATTTGCCGCTCGCGCTCATATCCCGCTGCACTATATCTCCTCAAACCGGGTGACCCTTCTCTCAGGGAAGACAAGCTACCCGCCGATCTCGGTATCATCTTACCAACCGGCAACAGATGGGTCAGAGGGGTTTGTCGCAGCTAAATGGGCGAGCGAGAAGTTCCTTGAATCTGTATCAAAGGAAATAGGATTAAACGTGTGTATCCATCGTCCTTGCTACGTTATTGGTGAGGACGCACCAAGTACGGATACAGTGAACGCTGTTATCCACTTCTCGCGGGTCCTTATGACGGTCCCGGCGTTGGAGGGAATGGATGGGTATTTTGATTTTAGGGAAGTTGCAGAAGTGGCGGATGGGATTGTGCAAACCATCCTTGCTTCCGGGTCTGGTGAGGAGAAGTTAAGATATAAACACCATTCGAGTGGTGTGAAGGTTCCGATACGGGAATTGGGCGCCCATTTGGCGAAATTATATAGAGGGGAATATGGGAAGGTTAGTACGCAAGAGTGGTTAAGACTTGCTGGTGAGGCAGGAATGGAGGTTATCGTGGGGAAGTTTATGGAGGCTGTTATCGAGACCGGCATAGCTAGGTCGTTTCCGTTCTTGGAGGACGAGGACAAGGCATCTGAGGTGTAGATGCGTGGGATTCGATAGCTACAATGGATGATTCAATTCAGGAAGTGGAATGGGACAGGCCTTCTCTAGCACTATATCGCACTGTTCCTCTGTAAAACGCCGAATTTGAATAGTATTAGAAAGCCATACGGTATAGCTGATAGAATTAATACCCTCCGGCAGTTCTACATCAGTCTGCTTAGCACGCAACTCTGTATAAATCCCACTGTTTGCCGAGGGATACTAGACGAATGAATGACATTGCTCGGTGGCTGGAGCTCTCACCGTACAGCAAGGGATGGCAGCGTCCCTGCCCTTATTACCTTACTCCTATAATTCAACATATATCTTCAGAGACTACTGTGATGACTTGACGGTGATTCTTGACAATCACTAGAACCTCTTTTCTGGATTCTCTATCGCGCTTCTCAGGGCGAAGAAGAGTTCAAAACAACAAGTTCAAAACAACATCATGAACATCCGCACCATCCTCACATCCTTGTCTCTGGATCTGCTCGCCGCCTATGCAGTTGATGCTCAGGCTATGGCAACGTCTCTAGAAAATACACTGCATATAATGATGGATTTATCGTCGTTGACAAGTGGTGCTGCAATGGATATATTTCCTTCGACAGTGGATCGCTTCTTACCTGTGAGTTCACTCCACCATGCTTTTTTTTGTTTGTCCCTGATTGGTTCCAGAAACTAAGATGTAGGATGTCGTCGGTGGGTTCGAATTGATCACCACGGCAGCGGAGAACGAGATTGTGGTGCTTTTGGTGTCGCAGGAAGGCACCGCGGGAGCCAGGGATGGGAAGACGCAGAGAGATATTTGTGAGAACTATAGCGGGGTAAGTCTTTATATATTTGGGTCACTTTGACGATAAGGTGCCGTCTTGTTGTTTTATGTGACACTGAGACTGAATTGTATCTCTGGGATAGTTCGCGGAGGTCCATCGAGTTCTCATGGATATCATAATCGGAAAGAACGAAACTCTCGCCCATGGCTTATTCGATCCTACGACCACGGTCCGAGACGTCCTGGATCAACTTGATCACCGTCTGGATTTGTGCAGCAAGGCTGTTACGTCCTTGACTCGGTCGACTCTGCCCCTCGTTCCAGTCTGCGCTGATGGTATTGTTCATGATCAAGAAAGCTATAATGAGACTGTGGAAGAATTAAAGTCGGTTCTACGTGTTTTACTAAATTAAAAGCCGCTCGTGGATATTGAGAAACCAGCAAATTTTTTCTGTTCTGTTTTCCTCAAGTGGCACCCAAAAAGGCAAGCCAGACGTAATGACCTTGCAATGCTGTACCCAGGGATCCCTGTCGGTTTGCCTCAGTATATTTATATATTATTTGCTGAAATAGCGGAATGTGTAACCCCCCCTTGCTTTTTGAAACATTACGCGCGCGAGGGGCTGGATACAGGCTCTTTTGCCTCCCAAAGCACCCCTTACACGGGCCTTTCTGTAGCTCTTCGTCGAGGCAGAATTCAACGTTGGTTTCTTTCGTCGCTATTACCCTCCATATTCGTGTACAACTTCAAAATGGGCACATCAGCGGAGGAAGTTGCTGCCCAAGAGGCGGCACCGATGCCAGCGGAGCACCCCTTTGAAGACAACTCATCTGAATCGTATTCCGACGGCGGACTGCAGGCGTGGCTTGTGGTCTTAGGGTCATGGTGCGCTGCTCTCCCTTCTTTCGGCCTCATGAATACCACTGGTGTTTTCGCGGACTGGATTGCGACGCACCAACTGAGCGAGTACTCCCACTCCGCTGTTTCATGGATTTTCAGCGTCCATATTTTCTTCTTGTTGATTGGTGGTGTTCAGATCGGTATGTCATCTTTCAGTGAAATCGTCGTGGGCGCAAGTAATTGACTACGAGTAGGGCCTGTATTTGATCGTTACGGGCCGAAGCATCTCCTTGTCCTAGGCACCATCGGGCTCACAGCTGCTGTTATGATCCTTAGTGTCTCGAAAGGTAAGTCCACCGTTCTTCTGCGTACGTATTCCGGACCCCTAAGATCTGAGGAGAATACTACCAATTCATGCTCGGCTTCGGCGTCCTCGGCGGCATCTCCGCATCCATGCTCTTCACCCCCAGCGTCTCTGTCGTAACCCACTGGTTCTGCAAACGCCGCGCCCTTGCAACAGGAATCGTCGCAACAGCCGGAAGTATCGGCGGGATTATCTTCCCCCAGATCTTCAACGCGCTCGCACCGAAAGCCGGGTTCGGCTGGGCAATTCGCACTCTCGCCTTCATCACCCTGGTCTTCTGTAGCACAGGTTCTCTACTCCAGAAATCACGCCTAAAGCACAACAAGGCGAGTCGGAAAACCATCGACTTGAGAGTCCTCCGTGAGATACCCTTTGCCCTTACTACAACAGCGATAGTTTTCGCCGACATCGGCGCCCTGATCCCTGTCACGTACCTAACGTCATACGCACGCGCAAACTCAATGACGATTCAGCAATCCTACACACTGATGTCCATCCTCAATGCAACCTCTATCCTCGGCCGATTAATGCCCGCCTACGCAGCAGACCGATACGGCCGCTTCAACGCAATGGTCGTGACAACCTGCATCTCAGCAATAATCACCGTCTCACTCTGGCTGAAGAGCGGGTCCAACCACGCAGCGATAATTAGCTACGCTGCACTATTCGGGTTCTGGAGCGGCTCGGCGATTGGCCTGAGTCCTGTCTGTGTGGCGCAGATTTCGAAGATAGAAGATTTTGGGAAGAGGTATGGTACCGCTTATACGTTCGTAAGTGTGGGAGTACTTGTTGCGCTGCCGATCGCAGGGCAAATACTTAAGGCACAGACGCATGATGGAACAGAGGAGTATTGGGGATTGATTTTATTTTGCGGGGTGGCTTATGGGGTTTCGGCGGGCTTCTTTGTGTTGGCGAAAGTTTTCAAGACTGGGTGGAAGGTCAGGAGCGTTTTCTAGAATGGGGTTTCAGAAGATTATGTGCAAATGAGGCTCTGATTAATAATCTACCAGAGAGAGGTAAAGATGTGGGAGGGTTAGAAAATATCCTTAATCTTCTGGAATTGAAGGAGTAGACAGAACAGCTGTGCTAAGAACTGGATTACCCTTTCTTTCACAAACTATCTCCTAGTTTGTTTTGTTTCATCAGGTATATGAATCATAAAAAATGAGATCTTCACGACGAACTGTCCCTATACTAGTAACACCTCTTGATTAATATAGCAACATCTTATTTAGAATCCAGACTTATGCCCTGATACTACCTGGGATGAAGGCTCCGGCTTTTGCTACCTCTAGATATCAACAATACATAATAATTTAAATGAAGGAGAAGATAATACCAAATCACGCATCCCTGTGGCATGACTGATCACACCCAAGGGCCTACAGCACTACAGCACTGCAACCATTATGATAAACACTATAAACACTCAGTTGAAAATTAAGCCACACTGGATAATGGACCGCGCCTTCCGCCCGTGCAAACACTGTTGAGGAACCTGATTGAATACTATATTACATCGCTAAATCTAATCAACGCATATCTGGACCTAAGCCAAGGGAGCTGCAAGGGAGCTGCAAGGAATACCATTTGCAAATATCCAATCATGCAGGACCTGGACAGTCTTATCAATGACTGTATCGAGTAGTAAATGCAATGATGCGCTCATCCGCCGGGTTTAGTAGGTTATTGCCGAATGCCGCTGTCAGCTAGCCACATCCCTAATTGTTATGGTAATATTCACCGTAGATCCTTCAACTTGATCGGTGAGACCTCCCTACAGAAGTCTCCACCCTGATTGCCAGCATTTCTTTTCGGATTTACTTCCCTTCATTGGACTCGAGTTTTGTATACTCGCCTATCCCTGGCATGGGAATACGTACATGTGGACACCCAGAATCTAGCGGTGAAGAATTGCTCAAGCTTCCGCTTAGCTCGGAAGCATGAATGTGATGGAATGAAAGCATGCCCACGTACAGATATGCCGCAGTGGATAAGGGGGAACTTAATCCGTACGATGGCAGACTACCATATCAATCTCTGTACGACAGAAAGGCCAAGTAACTGCAAAATTCTGTTCTATATACTGCTCCGGAACAAGGCTCTCTCCGAGGATTCAAGACTGGAAATCTAATCCTTGGTAACACTTAATCCACTTGTCAAACTCTAGCAGACTTAGTGGATGAGAAAGATGACTACCGCAACTGGGGAAACTATATGTGGTTATGTTCAATCAGCCTCTAATTAATGGCAGAGATCAAAAAAGCAGATTGCTGTTGATCTTATAGTCTTGTTATAATTTTACCTATATAATGGGTGGCTTATAACTTTCTGTAGAGATATATTGTTACTAATAAGATCTAAAAGAAATAGGAAATATATTTTTAACCATATATCTATAGTAGCTTGTAGTCTGGGTAATGCTACTTACTAAGGCTAGGAAGATTGCTAATAAACTAGGGTTAATATTATCTAGGGAGGTGGTTTATCAGGCCCTCTATATCTTTGTCACATGGCGACCAGCCAGCAAGCCTCTGTCATAAGCTACTATTTTACTTAGATAGTATTTTTCTCTAAACTCTGAGAATATAAGATAGAAATAGAGGGAATAAATAGCTTAATAAGAACTAGGTAATTGATTCTAATTATTAGAATATATATATTTTACTTAATAGATCTATATCCTTCTAAAATACTATAATTATAGTAGTAACTTATAGCCTAGTTAATAACCCCTTACTAGCTAGGTACCCCTTAGGTAGTTAACCTTCTAGCTACTTATTAGGGTTGTTATTTTTATGGGTTGGGCTGGGTTCCTCTACTAGAGTTGCATTTGGTCTGAGTTTGGGTGAGTCCAACCCTAGTTAGAACTGTACTTCTGTAATTTTAAGTCTAAATCTTAGAAATTAGATCTAAATCTAATCTATTCTAATTTACTATAAGTTTAACTATAAAACTTAAAGCTTAGTATAGCTAAACTATTTCTAGCTAAGTTATATATTATAGCATACCTGCAGATAGCTGTTATGAAATAACTGCAGTTAATAGTAAATAGTTAGATAAGGCTTATAAGAAAGGCAGCACAGCCTTAATATAAGAATAGGGAGTAGTTAAGTTATATAACTAATAGTCCCTAATGCTAAGGAGTAGTAATAGTCTATAAGGGACTATAATTATATAAGGGAACTGTGACAGCACAAGTATAAAAACTTTTAAATCTTTAGGAAAGATTGAAGGAATAATGGCATAAAGCTAGTAAATATAAGTAAAGCACTATAATAAATATTATAAGGAGTTAATATTAGAAAAAGGACAACTAGTAGGGTTATTAATAAAGAATCTTAAGTTAAAGGTTCTAAGTAAGAAGCTAGCTCCTACTTTTATTAGACCTTTTTATATACTAAGTGCTATTAGTTTATAAGTATATTACCTTACTTTACCTATAAAATATAATTAAATATATAATATCTTTTATATATTATACTTAGAACTATAGAATTAGGTAAAGTATAATTAGTTACTACTAATACCAGAACTTAAAGATAATAATAAATAGGAAGTTAAAGAGGTTAAAGATAGCTATATTATTAGAAATAAGTAGTACTATTTAGTAAAATAGAAGGACTAGCCCTTAGAATATAACTAGTAGACTTATATTAATAATATAACTAATATATAAGAGGTAATATAGAAATTTAAAGTTAAGACTATTATTCTTAACTAGTATAAAGGTAGTAGGAAGGGCTAGTTATACTAATATATAGATATTAGAAGGAGTCTAATATACTAGCCTAAATCTCCTCTAAAATAAGAGAGAATATATCTTTAACCTTACTAAGATAATCTGCAGTATCTTAACCTACTATTTTATCCTTATAAATATAGATAATAGCTGCTATAACCTCCTTAAAGAATATCTAAAGAGCTATACTCTAGCTAGTATATCCTTTATTACTAGATAGTAAGTATAATAACTTCTAAGAGTAATAGAAATACTAGTTTTCTGCCCCTGTGTTAGTAGTAGGAGGTAAGATATATACTAACTTATAATAATAGTCTATATAGAAGGAATTATAACTAGATAATATCTTTTATAAACTAGCTTATTAGTAAAATACTATCTAAATAGTATTAGTTTAATAAATCTACAGTAACCTCCTTCTTAGAAGAAACTACTAATCTATATTATTTATAGTAGGCTAACTTAATATATTTAAAGGCTTTATATAGAGTTATTACTACTTTATTAATATTAGAGAATAATACCAGATCCTATAGTATAGTATTATTATTATTAGTCTTAAAAAAAGTAGTATACTAATAGAGTACTATAGAGAGATTATATAGATTTCCTAGTATACTAGTTAATATCTTATTAGGGTTAGTAAAGCCTATAAAACCTAGAAAATATATATACAGTAATATAAGTTATATTATACTAAGAGTATTAGGAGTATAAAATTAACTTCTTTATATTAAAAATATAGTTAATTATAAATAGAATACTAGTATATAGGTTAAAGTTCTTTACAGAAGTATAAAGATAGTATATATACTATAATAGCTATAGAACTACTACTATTAAGGTAAGAGAATAGGTATAAACTATAATAATAAGAACTCTATAAAGATAATATAAAATAAGAATAAAACTTAAGAAATATAAAGAAGAAATTATAAGATCTAAAAGAACTTAAAGCTTAGATATTAATAAATAAAAAGGAATTATAATATTAAAGAAAATACTATAATATAGAAAAGAAGTATTAATATATAAGGTTAAAAGAAGAGAAAATATAAATAAAGATAGGATTAAGATTAATATACTATAGTTATTATCTATAGTAATATTATTTACTACTATATCACAGTATATAATAAATAAAGAATATAATAAATTTTAAAATATATAAAGCTAATATAATAGAAGCATTATAACTGCTCTATAATTAGTTATCTTTATTAATAATACTATATTATATTAACTACTATAATATTATTTACTTCTTTAGGAAATCTTAAGGTTATATAACTCTAATTAAGAATAGTTATTATAGTAGGAGGGAGTATAATTATAAAGGATTAACTATAGCCTAGTTACTCTGCTATATAGTGTCACACCCTGGGATCCGTCTCTGCTGTTCTCTGCTAGTCAACTACTTTGGGAACGGGGTGATATAGTCCCTGGACTATATCCAATACTCACCTAAGGCCTACCAACCAGGTAGCCTATCAATCAGTGATACAATGACCTTCTCCATAGTCAAGGGCAATCCAAAGGTAACACAAGAACAATAACAGTAGAGATAGAAGCAAGGCCTATTGAGTATGTATACTTAATAGTAGAGAGTAACTGATGAATCAGACTAGTGAACTTGTACTCAAGTAAATGATTTATAATTAATATTGAATGCAAGGAACTAAAACTAAGAGTACTAGATATAGTATGAATGAGTGTCCTTATATAGTTCCTTAGTCGCAACTTATTTGCGACTTCCTCTGCTACTCCTAAGGTATCTATGGAGTAGTTCTAGGAGTAGAGGTAATACTCCTTTATTTAGCAGTCGCCCATTTCCTGGGGTAGTGATCACATGATGGTGCGGCCGATAATGGCGTCCTTTAGGTAATCAATAATTGTCCTCTATAATGATTTGGTATTACTATTTAGTAAGCAACTACTGAACTGTTTTCCTGTGGAATACCCATCCAGATTAAGTGTCCTCCTGGATTGCTCAGTGATCCCTTAGGATTAATTGGTGATTAGCAATCCTTCAGTTTCTGCCTGTCACATCCGCCTTACACTAATACAGCTGTGTTAGTATCATAACATCACCTCCCCCTCTCTTTATATTTCGCCCTCGAAACTTCATTCATAAGGCTGTAGGGCCCCCCAAGGTGAGTTATTTTTTCATTTCCTTTCATAGTCTTTCCCAAGTATGTTGGTTTTCTGATTTTT